ACAGAGCCTTTTTCTGCTTTATGCAGACTTTACAATAATTAGGCAATTCTGGGATATGAAAGACCCATAGATTCCATTACACTACCAGCAACAAAACTGAGTTACTGGTTAATTTCATTATTGGTGTAAAATGTGGAGGCTGGGCTACAATTTATATGGACTATGGAGGCCGGGCTACAAATTAATCTATTATATACATGGCTTCTCAAAGCCTAATTGCTGTTAGAACAACATTAGGAGACTATGATAATGAGAGTCAATGAGTACGAGTATACAGGGTGTATCAAAAAAAACTGAACAGATTTGAAATTGCTCTCAATTTCGCAAAACACCTATTTGTATCCGTTTTTTTATATATATAGCTGCGTTGGGTACTTATAATGTAGAATAATGAAAAAAAATTCTCGAACTCAAATTTTGTGAACCAGGGGGGTGTGTCTTTTCCAACAAAATAAAAATGGCTCGCGCACAAAATTTAAAAGCTATAATCATATTTTGAGTTAACAGATGGAAAATTTGTCGGGTTTTTAATTACTGTACAAAATTTCAGACAATTTGGTTTAGTTTAAGCCCCTTAACTATTCACGCAAAGTTACATTTTTCCCTAAAAATCAGGTATTTGCATGCTTAATAAATGTATTTGCCTAATTTGCATATGTCAGCAATATGCAAATTAGGTAAAGGCATTAATTAAGCATGCGAAAGGACTTAAACTAAACCAAATTGTCTGAAATTTTGTACAGTAATTAAAAACCCGACACATTTTCCATCTATTAACTCAAAATATGATTACAGCTTTTAAATTTTGTGCGCGAGCCATTTTTAGTTTGTTGGAAAAGACACACCCCCCTGGTTCACAAAATTTGAGTTCGAGAAATTTTTTTCATTATTCTACATTATAAGTACCCAAAGAAACTACATATATAAAAAACCGGATGCAAATAGGTGTTTTGCGAAATTGAGAGCAATTTCAAATCTGTTCAGTTTTTTTTTATACACCCTGTATAATAAGGTCATCCTGCAATTTGTGCACTGTTGCATGTAGATCGAGCACTGCATTGTATACAATGGTTGTACTTCGACATGTGCATGGTTATACTCTAGCTCCTAGTTATAATTATATTGGCTATCAAACGAAAAACATACGTGAGGTTATGAGCGAGATTTGCAAGTTTTGCAACCCTCGTCTATTAAATTTTCCAGACCTGTATATAAAATAAACAGTAAAACCATGATTACATCGTACATACCATACAATCTTTGTTGTTGTTTGTTTGTAGAACACTTGACAAATTATCAGGTAAAAGACTTAAAACCACGATGTAGTGCGCGGTGTGCCATTTGTTTAATATCATTTTGTTCAGTAATTTTTTAAAATAATTTAGAATTCCTACATTTATATGCGATATACTTCATGTAAATTAAACTTTACGGCATTACGCCGACAGTTTCCGAATGCGTGACAATACTGTTTCAAACTGTTGTTCTGGATATAGATATCAAACATAATTATTTTTATAAAATATGTTTGTTGAAACAGTTTAAACAAAATGCAAGCTAAATAAAGAAGTGTTGACAAGATACAAAACAAGACAATTTCACTTACAAGGGTGACAAGGTAATTTATAGGATTATAGCTTATTGTAACTGTATAAATACATTGTGCGTTTCTACTCACTGTGGGCTGTGGTTCTTTTGGAAATCAGATATCTATTATATTTTGCAATTAATAATATTAAAGTTTAGCCTAAGACATTGTGTAGTTTAGTTATAGGTTGGCATTTTGCAATTATGTACCCATACATGCCCCTTAAGTAGAGTATATTTATTAACTGTTTACAATATTTGTGGTATATAATGTAGCCATGAATGACCACATGACCCCACAGGATGAACTCCAATGGCTTCTAAATAGACAATGGATGAAAAGTTCATGAATATTGAGCTTTATATATGATTCGGGTTAAATACAATAATTATTAACCTAGCTTTATATAAAATGTACATACATGTTCTAATAATTGTATTTTGCTTCATACAATGCATATGTGTATGAAAACATTACATTATTCAGCTCACTCCCCATTGGGGCTTTTCAGTCACCGATTACATCAAGTATTAGGATTACTTATGTTAGTCTAGACTAGTCTATTTATCTTTACAACAATGAGAATATGATATTACTTTCCTAACTGTGTTTATCCTAACCCACCCTGCCAACTTTGCCCTGTGGGAGGAAACCGGAGCAAAATATAAAATTCAATTACCTTGAAAATACTTAAATTGCAATCCCTAAAATTTAGAATTTTCTCTTAAATCGCATTAAATCGCAGTGCTTGAAAATCCCAGTTTTTCCTTAAATCGCCTAAAATCGCATTATATCACGGCGATTTAAGGCGATTTACCGCCCCAGAGTAGGCCTAACTAAGTCAGATCTATAAGAGCATATTTAAACTAAATATTAATTATAGCAATAGCCATTTTGTTCAAGACGAGAGAAAGGAAATTTCGTGTGAATCACCACTTGCATGGAGACGGATAGATGCAGCTTGGATGCATGCAGCTTTGCCTGTAGTTGAAAATCTCCAGAAATATCGGTATATCTTAGAAAACATAGACGGGATCTTCACAGATTTTAGCTGATTCGTGCCAAACTTCGCTCTACACATAAATAATATCGATTGAGAAGTCTTTTGGCTATATATTTGTTTCGAAGACTTGTATATTTCATTAAAGAATATCTCGCCACTCCTTGACGAGTAGCTGCAAATACTGCCATTTATTGTCGTCACGTGACCGGCCCAGACCAGGGCTTCCTCGTGTCTCGCCTCGTCCTGACACTGAAGCCCTGGGAACGAGGTTGCACGTCTGGTATTCGACGTGTTCGCGATCGGAGGTAGGGTTTTCGGCTTTCCTCTCTTGCCTCACGTACTCGGCACATAACCGACCTGCGCGTTCGGCAAAGACATGGATGTATTAGTCGGCTAAAAAGCTGACGCCGGCCGTTATGGCGGCAAATTCCGCGATTGTCCGTAACATAAACTTTCTGCTATCAGTGGTCGTTTTTATTCGAGAGACGCATTATGCGTCTGGACGAACTTGGGCAAGCATTTGTTCGTCTAGTTATGCGTCCTCAGTATAAAGACGGGCACAAGACGCATTATGCGTCTAGACGAACTATGTTTGATTCTTCGTCTTAAGAGACGCACAACCGATGATAGTTCGTCTGGACGCATAATGCGTCTTGTGCCCGTCTTTATACTGAGGACGCATAACCAGACGAACAATAAATGCTGATAGTTCGTCTGATTATTCGTCCCGTCTTTATACTAGACGAATAATGTAGAAGACGGATTATGGGTCCAGACGCATAATGCGTCTCTAGTATAAAAACGGCCAGTCATTCTACTTTATTCTACGGTGTAAAAAAATAAAAAAAATTTCCCTATTTTTATTGGGATCGTTAGCGCTCAGCGGCTCACTCGAACGGTTCGTCCGGTATTAGTTTTTTGGTCTGCAAATATTGAACACTGAGTGCGCCAAGTCTGACGGCCACTGCTAGTTTCAGGATCCCTTTTGGACTACTAGGAACCCTTAGGCTGTCGCCTGCAAATTTTTTGCTCACCACGGACACAGCGACTGCGCCAAGCGTGATAAGTCCAGGATCGAAGGCTTCGTTCATATCATAACTAGATATACATGCATGCAACAACCCCTCGCCAATATTTTCCAAACATTGTTTCAACATGAAGTATTCGTAATTACGCCAACACTGAACCCAGGCTCGCGTTTCACGTCATGTTAGTCATGGCAACACGATAATTGCTTTGTAATTTTTTGTACAAACCGCGAAAAATAGATGAATTTTGAACACTTTTAAATACAGAACTATCAATTTCTAAAATATATAAAGTATAGGTATAATATTTTGGTTTCTATGGGCTTTATTTTAATGTAAAATTCAAAACGGAACTCTACGTAAAACGTTTTTAAATGTGAATTGAAATTAACTGCTTTTTGCCGATATTTATAAACTTCTCAACTCGAGCTTCAACTTATTACTCGCACTTTGAAATGAAACAAATTTAATTCGTACAGGACGCTAATGAAAATAATTTGCTTTCCTTTTTATCATGAACTTCTACAAAAGTTAATTTAACTAAGAGAAACTTTCGCAAACAATGCATAGGAAAGACTTGAACATCAAGAACAAAGTCTATATTATTTAAGAAATAGAAAACGAGTCGCGTGCGTTTATGGTGTGATAATGCACGCGGGGAATGTTGGGAGAATACGAGAGAAGCGTGTAAAACACGAGGCGTAGCCGAGTGTTGTACACGCTTCTCGAGTGTTCTCCCGACATTCTCCGAGTACATTATCGCACTATAAACGCACGAGACGAGTTTTTCTATTTCTTTTATAATATAAGTAGAAGATATTACATAGTAAACAATTTTACTCCAAAGATCGACGTTGAAATTCTCATAACATATGCTCAGTGACGTCACGCGCATGGTTTTACTGTCCCTTGAATTTTTAAGCGAGCGAAGGAGCAAAATTGCCAAAACAATATACTTGATGCTATAAAGCCGAAAAAATTGTTTAAAATCGTGGAAATAAAAAAGACAGTGATACACAGACTAATTTGCCAAAGTCTGGGCTGCTGGATTTGCCATGAAAGACGGTAAATCGTAGGTTTCGTCGTGTTTATACTCAGTTTTAATGCTTTGTTTCTTTGGTCTATTCCTTCTTGCTTTCTGGTATATTTTTTATCTTAAAAGCTCCATAGTTTTGTTTATCTTTTTGGCTGGAAAGCAGTGATGAAGTGGGAAAAACAGAGAAAGAGCAAGGCAGTGCCACAGATCACAGTGCATTATTGCGTCACAATGCACGCGCATTAGCCAATCAAATCGTCTGTTATATCACACTTATATTATAATATTAAATACAAAGTCATACATAAACAATTGAAACAAACTTGCCCTTTACTTAGGATTTATCATACAATATCAATTTTTATCAATATTTACGTTTAAAAATTGCAAAAAAATTGTACATTTTGTTATGTGAAACGATTTTCCAAGCTTTCTTACATGTATTTTTAAATTTTTTTGCCTTCTTCACTCCTGGCAATTAAACAGCCATATTTTGAGATCAGTGATGACCACCCACCCAACACTCCAATATCGTTGGTGAGCGCGCCCGCGGTCATTGATGAACTTTAGACTTCGCTAATGCTTTCGTTTCCCCGGGTGTAAATAGCCGGGGGGATTAGTACCCTCGCACGGCGCTTCGCGCCGTCGGCTCGGGGATAATTTTACTATCCATCTTTATCATATATATAAAAAAAATTGTGATCTCAGTCAAACAGATCGAAATCCCCCGGTATTTGAGCTGCAGCTTTTTCTTCCGTAACTTGTGATCTATCCACTTCCGAACCGTTCCTGCTCATCCTATCACACCACATCACGTAAAGGGATCGGAACCGAGTCCCACGGTGATAGCTACCACCATTCCTACCCTTTCCAGGGTAATTAACTTGTCCCCACCCGGCTCTGGACACTCGCTTTCCACAATTGTAACATCCTGCTCCTCCGTATTAGCACGTACATCCGCGTGGTCCGTGGAACTCATTTAGGGGAAACCGGTAAAGAAGTTCTATGGCTGGTTTTAAAACCACCTCGCACCCCAAGACTTTTCAGCACCATTATTATCGTTATTGTATACTACCCACCTGGACAACGGCGTGAAAATGACCATGAAATGATAGAGTATCTTTCTAACGGACTGGATATTATACTTACCAAATGGATATCTTCAGGAATTATTATTGCAGGAGATTTCAATATGTTGAACATCAGTCGTTTATGCAGCCGTTTTGGGCTACGTAAAACTATATCAGCGCCCACTCGAGGGAAAAGTCCCCTTAACCAAATTGCTACAAACATGTTTAATTTGTTTCATGCAGCAAGACACCTATCTCCTATTGGCAGATCAGCTCACAAGTGTATTCTCCTTAAACCAAAAGATAATTTGAAAATCCCTCCTACGACAAAGAGAGTCCTGATTAATGAGACCTGGAAATCGAGCCGCTTTAAGTCTGAAAGTGGCGCAGAAAACATGGGAGCGTATATTCCGTGCTGAAGATGTTGACGAAAAGGTCAAGCTGTTCAATGAAACTGTGATTCACATGCTGGACACGAAGGTGCCTGTCAAAACCATCAGATTCCACAACTCAGACAAACCGTGATGATAAGCCACATGAAAATGGAAATCAAAGTTAGACAGCAAGCTTTTACTCGTGACGATAGTATAAACTATGCACGATTATGCCATAAAGTCTCAAGTCTGATATCAAAAGCGAAAATAGTCTACTATGAAAATAAAACCAAAGACCACCGTAGATCAAAGTCATCAAACTCTAGTAAATGGTTTAAATCCATCTCCTTACTAGTTGGCATTGATGGTACATCCAACTTTCCGGCAAACGGGTGCCAAATCTATGATCTTTCTGAACTGACCGAGAAACTACAGGGATGACCGTTTTTACCGCCCCTTGGAATGGAATGATGTTAGACAATGCTGCTAGTTATGACCTAAATAATGTGCAACACCATCTTAAAGAAATTGATCGGCCCCCCATACCATCGATTGGTCAGGTGAAAAAGGCCCTTAATGCCTTACTACGCATTTCACTGATATGTGCATTCCGCATTTTTTTTCGCTTCCGAACGACGTTCGACGGTCGACGTTCGACGCAGGCCTGGTTACAAAATTTGGCGCTTTTTCAAGTTTGAATTTTCCGAAGTTAATATAAATCAATATAAATAGTCAATGTCTTGTCTTGAATGACAGAAGTATTGATGAAAACTTGAAAAGGCGCCAATTTTGTAACCAGGCCTGCGTCGAACGTCGACCGTCGAACGCCGTTCGGAAGCGAGAAAAAAATGCGGAATGCACATATTAGTGAAATGCGTAGTAAAGGTGAAGAAGGCGACTGGCATTGATAGAATTCCTGCATGGTTCCTGGAGCAGTATAGTGAAGACTTAGCTCCCATAGCACATAACATCATCACGAGTAGCATAATTCAATGTAAATATCCCACCTTGTACAAACAAGCTCTAAAAACCCTTGTGCCTAAAATTATTCAACCAAAAAAAATATTGAAACTGATTTTCGTCAAATTTCTGTGCTTCCACAGTTAGCTAAAGTGCTGGAAAAGATTCAATTGCAACTAAATTGTGCAGATTCTCACATTAAAAGATAACCAACATGCGTTACTCAAGGGCCGTTCTACAATGATCTCAGCATTGATTGAAATTTTACATTGATGAAACCGAAAACACTGTGCATGGCAGAAAAGGTATCCATGCTAATTTCATTGACTTTAGCACAAAGCGTTTGATATGGTGGACCACCGAATTCTCCTTTCCAAATTGGCCTATATGAACTTAACTAAATCTTTTTGTCTGTGGATTCGAGATTTCCTATCCATGAGAAGTCAACAGGTAAAGCTATTTCAAATGTTGTCATTATCTGCTCCATGCCCAACTGGAGTTCCGCAAGGCTCGGTCAGCTCTTCTATGCTATTTAATGTATACATCGATGATTTAGAAGATCAAATCCCTGCAAACCTAACCGTCGTTACCTCGAAGTATGCCGATAACTGCACACTCGATCAAGCAGTTGGAGCCGGAGAAATAAGCCATGTCCAACAGGCTCTAGACATTATCCAAAATTGGTCAGTGTCGACTGTCGAACAAAATGACTATCAACGTCAAAAAAACAAACGAACAAACGTCATGTGGATATGTTTCACGAAATAAGTATTGGAACCTCCTCCTGTTTATATCGGTGGCGAACTAGTTGAAAGAGTGGACAAATTTAAACTACTTGGAATGGGGCTTCAAAACAACCTCAAATGGAGAAATCATGTTCAAACTGTTATACAGAAAGCAAACCGTCAAGTATATATCTTAAGAGAATGCAGGAAAGCTAATCTACCTTTGGAAGTAGGTATTATCCTTTATAAATCCAATATTAGATCTAATCTTGAATATGCCTCACCTGTTTGGGGTGGCCTTCCAACATATCTGGCAAATGAAATTGAACAAACCCAGACCTGCTGCCTCCGAGTTTTTGGTTATAACAGTGACTGTCTATAAAGCCTCTCTGATCGAAGAGAAGAACTTCTGAAACGTGAAGCGCGGAAGATTATGAATGACCCTTCCCATGCTTTTCATACAAGACTTTTAAATCAAATAATCACTATAATTTACGCGGACAATTAGTAGCAAAAACACATTATCGCGAACCCAAAGACATAAACCTTCTTAACTCGTGCAAGTGCACTCACATAGTTTTTAGTTGTCTGTTCAAACTTAAGAGCAGATGTCCACTAAAATGGAGCAAAATCGAGAATTCGCGGACACATTCAAAATTTCGATTTTGCTCATTTTTGGTTTGCTGGAAGGTATTAGCAAGTAAACAAACGTGATATGGTTTGTTTTTCAAAAACCGTTAAAATTCTGAGAAATCCGAGAAAAACCGTTCGGCTGTCGGCGACCTCAAAAATATGCAAATTTCCAGTTGAATCAAACAGGTTCAAAAACAAGTAACGCACGCAAAGTAGGAAAAAGATGTGAAAACTATACGTTTGTAAGTCGATAGAAGAGATGTTTGAGACTTGATTTGGCATAAAATAATAATTTTAGCTATTAATTAAAACCTGACAGCTGATATTTAGAATCGTATGGTATTCACAAATAGCGAAAATTACGATGTACCGTTGCCACGCGAAAAACATTTTAACTAAGTGCCCCAGATTTTTTCCTCACGAAACTTACGTCATTAACTAATTATATGTTCTTCTAGAACATATAAAAAAATTAGTTTGGGTTATTCTATTTAGAGTTCGTACGGCGGCCGTGAATATTCGGTATTTTCGACATATAGCGTGACTGAAATCGACAAGTGTTTGTTCCTTCCGGTCGCTATTTTCTCATTCGTTTATATTTTCATTCGGAATTTAAACCCGAAACTACAAGTGCATCAGAAGACTAAGCGAGAGTTTTGTGTAGAAATGTGATGCCGTTAAAAAAGAAAGGCACCCTTTATTAGCAACTCACAGCGTTTTAGCAGTTACAGCATTTTTAGGAAGTGTCTCTAAAGAAGCTAACATCAGGTGAAGCAAGTAGAACTGACACGATTGGCGACGCGCGCCACCGTACTGTACGATTAAATTTACTCTCCTGATAGAACAATCACAATATTTTTGGTTCTGTTTATATCTCGCAAAATTAGTGCAGTTTTTAAAATTAGGAATATTTGCGTGCAAATCCATTAACACTATTTTTATTGCTGCCAATCAAAGTCAATGAAGTACATTTGTTTGGCAGTGTTTTGCCCGATTTCCCTGTCGTGACTGTTGTCTCTATCATCCGTTTCTAGTAACAATGGAAATAGTGGTAAAGAAATATTTGATAGAATCACAGGAATTATGCATTTCTCGTTTTCTGCCTGTTTCCACCCTGCTCCAAGAGTAGATCGATGTGCAGGATATATATTAGGTATTAATAAGTTCTTTGTATGTTTGCATGGCGAAAATATAATAGTTTTGTTTGTGGAAACACCACATAAATTTATTACCAGTGTGACCATATTCAGTATATTTTTTTACTTTTGGTAAAATTTCGACAATTTTGATAGAAATTTGGTAAAAAAGATTTTTTAGTAAAATTTTGGTAAAATTTCTTAAAATTCAAGATTTGGTAACTTTTTTGGTAAAATTCTATTAAAACGTTTGATGATGACCAGAAAACCCTGCAAAGTACATGCCTTCCTGATGCTGTGGCGATGGCTCACTTCTGAATCGGAGCCTGTGTTCTGTTTGCTCATTGCATGCTTCAGGTACGTCATTTAATTTGTCGCCTCTTTTGAACGAATAACATGAAGTAGCACGCGCAGCTAAAAATTGGGCATATGACGAATTTCATTTCGAAATTGCAAACTTACATTTAAAAATATGGATTTAATGGATAGTATCCAATACTGTCCATCAAACCCCCCCCCCCTCCCCCCAGGAGTGGGATGGGTAAAATCCAAATCTGGTAAAATTTTGGCCTATTTAGTAAAATGTTAGCAAAGGTTTAGTAAAATCCGCTGACAAACATCTGGCCACACTGTTTATTACTGCAAAGCTTTCGATCTGTAAGCCCGGATCTTCATCAGTGCTAATAGAGGGTCTGAATGGGGTTAACTGACTACTGACAATTTGCCTGAATTTTTGACTGACAACTGACAAAATATCCTAACTGACTACTGAGAAATGATGAAAAAAATTATAAGTCAGCATTTTGCAGTAACTGACTACTGACAGCTTGCAATATATCGCACTGACAACTGACAATTGGCTTAAATTTTAGCTGACAACTGACACCCAAAGACCCCCATTAAGACCCTCCTAATAATATGTGCACTGATGAAGATCCGGGCTGACGGATCGAAAGCTTTGCAGTATATAAATTTACGTGGTGTTTCCACAAACAAAACTATTTTATTACGAATTGCTCAATGTTTTCCGATTTATTCCCTGTAATATCATGATTACAACTTAACAACTGAACGCATTCTGATGCTTTAATTTGTTTTTAACTCTAGTATCATGGCCACAATGACCACCAACTATTGCGAAAAAGGAGCACTTTATATCCATGACGGCCAGACCACAGAATAAGGCACACAGAAGGGCACCCTGGCCGCCATCTTCCTAGCCAGTCGATTCCATTTTCTGGCCAATAAACGCGCTGTATTGGCTGAAGGCCCCGCCGTCTGGCCAGTCAACAGCATATTTTTGCATAGAAAAATGGCGACACGTTGCACCGCTGAGTGGCCCTTCTGGTACTGATCTTTATTCTGTGGCCAGACCTTGGCAAAATCTATTTTTAGACATGCAGTATCAAACTTTCCCAGATACGAGATTTACACGTTAATTACATCGCCCGATCGCTGTCTCAAGACAAACCGGCGCTCTTACCTGATAGTTTACTTTCCACCACAAAAGTGTTTAGGATTTCAAGCTGCAATATAGCAAAAACAAACCCAACAAACTGAAATATGTAATGAGAAAAAGGCCATAAAACTGAGCAGAAAGTTTCAGTTTTAACCACCACTGAATTTTATTACAATTTCTCTGTCCTCTGAGCATGTTCAGCCAAACCACATGCAAACTAACAATTAAAGAAAACTGAAAATAATTTCGAAGTCACCCTTCTTTTATAGCTTAGTGAAAATGTGCTAAGTTTTGTCTTTAGTTAAAGTAAGGGGCCGATTACGTGGAGGTTTTCAGCCCGGGATGAAATTTCAGCCTGGCAAACAGGGATGAAATTTCAGCCCGGGGCCCCTATAAATTCCAATATAATATGAATTTTACGATTATATGGAAAACATTTCGAAGTGTAAACGAAATGCAAAATAAAGCCACTTAAACGATTGTTTTTTAGCCCGGGCTGAAATTATTTGCGATTATTTCATCCCGGTTGACAGGGCTGAAATTCAGGCCGGGTTGAAATTTTCATCCCGGTTTATGTCACCCAGGATGAGATTTTCAGCCCTGTCAACCGGGATGAAATATCCCATGTAATTGCAAATAATTTCAGCCCAGGGTAAAAAAAACAATCGTTTAAATGGCTTTATTTTGCATTTCGTCTTATCTTTCATACTTTATAGTTTATATATGCAACCACAGTCTTACACAAGTCAAATAGTCGACTAATCGGCGTTTTAAATGCTCAAACAAGCGGAATATTGCCTTTCGTGATATCGTATGATTTCAGGCCGGGATGACATTTCATCCCGGGTTTGTTTTAATACTATACAAGGAATAAATATTGCTCTGACTAAAACTCAGCCCAGGTTCAAACTGCCCATGTAATCGTGATGCTATTTCGGCTCGGTTTACCGGGCTGAAATTCAGCCCAGGCTGAAAACTCTCCATGTAATCGGTATAAAATGTACAGAAATTATCTCGGTCATAGCACTATCTACTTAGTCTTATTGCTGTGACTGCTAAAACCATGTAAATTGCTAATAATAGCCATTTTTAAGGAAATGTATTTTCGGGTTTAATTCCCGATGAAAATAACAACTATTTAATATGAGAAAATAGCAACCGGAACTTCCGGAAGGAACAAAACATTTGTCGATTTCAGTCACGCTATATGCGAAAATACCCAATATTCACGGCCTCCGTACGAACTCTAAATACAATAACCCAAACTAATTTTTTTATATGTTCTAGAAGAACATTTGATTAGTTAATGGCGTACGTTTCGTGTAGAAAAAATCTGGGGCACTTAGTTAAAATGGTTTTGGCGTGGCAACGGTAGATTGTAATTTTAGCTATGTGTGAATACCATACGATTCTAAATATCAGCTGTCTGGTTTTAATTAATAGTTAATATCATGATTTTATACTCAATCGAGTCTCAAACATCTCTTCCAGCGATTTACAAACGTACAGTTTTCAAATCTTTTCCAATTCTGCATGCGTTAGTTGTTTTTTAACCTGTTCGATTCAATTGAAAATTTGCATATTTTTTAGGCCGCCTACAGTTGAATCGTTTTTCTCGGATTTCTCAGAATTTTAGCGGTTTTTTGAAAAACAAACTACATCACGTTTGTTTACTTGGTAATGCCTTCCTGCAAACCAAAAATGAGCAAAATCGAAACTTTGAGCGTGACCGGCTGACGCTCGATATTAGTGGACCTTCGCTCTTAATATTCTTATATGTGTATAATGTTCTAACATATTTTTTAACGTAATTTCAATCAAACTGTAAATCCATTGTACTTTTATACATAAGATGGATAAATAAAGATTATTATTATGCCAAGGTATTAATTTTATCCTCGTAAATAACGCGTTTATCATCGTTGCCGGATAATCCAACCTTGTTGATGGTTTCGGAATATATTTCCTGCCGGTAACTCCGGATTCCATTCATTTCGACCATGTGTTTCCTATCGCGATCTTTCATGCAATTAAGGTAGTCGTTGAAATTAAGTCCGTCCTTTACGACGTATCCGCGAACTCCTTTCGCTTCCTTTATTTCCTCTCCATTGCTCATCCTGAACGCATACATCTTGGGACGAATGGCACACGTCTCACTGATTTCCTCTCCACCCGTCTCGTTCTTCATGAAACCGAGTTCCATTTTGTTATCATCAAAATACATCGGATGATCCTCCTTGTAAGTACTGTGATCGAAATATTTTAATTGATCACCACGTCTTTAAATATCTGCGTCCACGTCGTCTATTTCGATGTGAACGAATCAACTATCCGTATCTGTCAATATCAATCTTGCCTTATCACCCCACGTGGGTTTCACAGAATTATACCAAAAATCGTACATCACAATCTTGGACAGATCCAGGATGGCAGCTCCAAGATAAATCGGTTTATTCAATTCTGCAACGGGTTTTCGCATACCGAAAATAGCTTTTCTGTTTCTGGGGATCGTAAGCTTTTAGGTATGGTATATCAGTAACAGAACGCAGTACACGGAATCATATAATTTGTGGAATATTTATATTATGATGGAATTATGATAAATTATTCGATCCACGAAATAAGAATTTAAAAAATATGGCTAAATATAAATAGATTACAAGTTCTCAGCTTTCATATTCGCATACTATGTAAATTGCATGTAAACCTTTATCTTTACTTACTTCTTGCCGGGTTTCCGCGTTCTACATCTCTTTAAACAGTCTTAAATCACGAATTATGATTCACAGGTTAGCAAACAGAACAGGATAAACATAAAACAGTTTTACACGCACAACATGCTCTCATAAACAGATTGCAGTTCACATCATATCAGTTCATATTACCTAGTGAACCTCGTGCTCCTAATTAAATGTCAATCAAAGTATACTAATCAAATTATCAGAGTTAATATTATTAAAGGTTCTTACGTACGTAGTTCCTCATCGATACAAGGTAGACGTTATGTGCCATCGCGTGCCATGCACATTCCACTGCGAATACCTTTTTCAATCATAAGGTACATGTCCTTGGCTGGATCCATAAGCTGGACCAATTCTACTCCGATATATTTTAAAGCTGCGTCCAGCGACAATCCGGAAGCCGTGTAGTACCACAACGGGTCAAGACCGTAATTCCTTTTGGACATCTTGCGAAAGTCCTCAAATATATCCGTCAAAAGGGCAATGTCCGTCTTGAGATAGATTTCCGAATAATCCCACAGCATTTTGCACCCAAACTTTTTGAAAACCTCCTGAGAAAGTGCATATTCCTCATCGGAAACGTCTTTCCATGTTAACGACGGGAAGAATTCTTCCTTTGTTGAAAGACACGTCTCGTTTAAAGGAATGCAGGTAATGTTTCCCCCGTTTATTGACAAACTCGGTAAGAATAGATGCTCATCATAACCATCGAGATTATAAAAAAGAGTTGGAATAAAGTTCGGTTTTCTAGCCTTGAGGTTACAAATGCTGTGCGCCGGTCCACGGCACTCTCCCGTAAAATGACAGTGATCTCGAACCTTACGTAATGTCCAGTCACTGTACGGATAAATCCGTTCCCAGCAAAGATGACATTTTGCCCTCGAATTGTAATCATCCACGTCCTCACGGGTCATTTTCATCGGGACCACAAACCGGAAGTTCTTGTCGTGTATTCCCTTAATTTCCTTTGCCATATATTCTGTCGCCAAATTCCTTCATCAGATCGTGGTCGTAGTCCTTTCTACGAATGATTATCATGATAGGTTCAAATCCCTTAATTTCCCTATTCGATGTAATGGAAAACCCTGCTATATAAGACACATGTATTTTCTTCAATCTCTTTTTCGTCCTGTGTCCGATATTCCTTTTCTCCCAGTATTTTTCCGGAATTTGCATAATTATGGATTCAATATCGGTCTGGTGGAAAACGGTACGTCCATCGTGTGCTTGTGATTTTGAAACTTCATCATCGGTTTATTCTCCTGTACGGTCCCATCGTCCTTCTTCTCCCCCTTAGCCTTTGGAAATATGGTTCGCTGGCGATCCCTTTCCCGACAATCCCTTTTGTGTTTGTCCAAAAGCTCCTTCGTCCCGAAATGGTTTGTGCAATATGGACAAAAATGTTCCGTTCTCTAGCCTCCACTCACCTGACCAGAAAGAAGACGACTCAAACATTTAACGGTACTGAAATTATCCTTGGGCCAGAAAAGGTTAATGACGTTCTTGTACTCCTCGCTCGGTTCCATCAACACCTAAACGTACTTCGTCGAAAGCAGACGGTCGCCATCGTCAGGATCCGTCTTCGTGACCTCCTCAATCCCGAAAACGTTAACCGCAATGTCGTTATTTTCCGAAAACTTTTTCGCATCCTTGACAGAAGCGGAAACGTCAGTCCGTCCCAGTTGTACTTTTCGGATTGCTTTTTAAGAAGTCCGTTAACAACGTTTGCTCTTCTCTCCACCGGATGCAATGCACGGCTAACCGGGTTAGCCTTCCCGCCCACTTAAAACACATGTCGTCATCGTTCTTGATGTTAATTACCGTTTTCTTACTTTTAATGAAAGCCTGAAGGTCCGAAAAACCGGCTCCTCTTACAAGGTGATACCTTCTTATGCTTACAATTAACTTTTCAACCTTTTTTAAGGTCCAGCCCCAACCGTTCTTCGGATAATTGGAAATGTCGTTGATGATATTGTCCACCGCCTCGTCGTACTTTTCCGAAATATCCATCATGGAAAACGTTAATGATGCGACTACTCGGATGATAGCTATCCGTCGTCACCTCTCCCGTAAGCGGATCCACCTTTCCCCTGATACAATTAAGCCAAACGAATCAAAATTTTGTAATTAACGGCTTTTCGCAAGATCCAATTAGCCTTAGAACCTCATCCCTCGACATGGAAAAACCTGCTGGTGCGTTAACGGAACGATCACATCGATCGTATAATCGCTCGACGTCATACCGTGTGCATGTCTGACACTTGTCACGGTAGGAACGAAACTTATCTCGTTCTGTCTGTCCTAGATCTTCTTCAGTTTGTCCCCCACTTCCAACCGAATCCTCCCTAATTTCTTCTTACCCTTCCATTTACCCTCCCTAATCCTACGGTTTTCCTCGGCACGTTTTTCTCGTGCTTTTGCGTTTTTCCGTATTCTTGCCGATTCGTTCTTCCATTCCTTTTCCAATCCAGTTCGGAACATCCCTCCGCCGTCGCTTTTCCTCTTTTGCAACCTCCTTCGACCATGTAGCGACCCCCTTCGCCGTCCTCTCAGAATCCACTTCGGCTTGCTTCCCAAGCATATGTCGACGTTCGTATTCGTCCTTGATCTCCTTCTTCAGCGGGGAAAAAGCTGTTCTCCTCGCTTCCTTTAGCGTGCTGTCGTATTCCTTGTTAACTTTAATCTGTTTTCTGACATCCTGTGTTTTCCTGTACTTCGCCCTTGTATTCCCACGACGCTTTTCCGTTAGTGACTTTGCCTATTCCTTGGCATTTTCATCACGCTATCAATAAATCGAAACGGATTACCCTCCCTGTTCAGACGCTGTGGGTTCTGCTTCTTCATACTTTATATTATGTGGGTGAAAGGGCTTATAGGTCATTGAATCTACATACCGATTTCAAAATCCAAGGAATTTTGAAAAAAGTATGAAAAACCCACGAAGTTCGAACGGTGCGCACAGTTTTAGGACCCGTGCCGTAGTCCTTTATCCCATACTGTAAAAATCATGTCTATAAGACATCTAATCCTTTTGGGTAATTTTTGGGAATAAAATTCCCAAAATAACAAAAAGTGCTTTGAATCCCATCTATAAGTCCTTGTTCACTCTCATCTCATCTCGGTCGTCCATGACGAAGAAAATTTGACAGTTCGGTCAGAAACACGAACAAGAAAAAATTTCAATAGGCGGTCGTCCCCTTTGATCTCTGAGCCGAAGACCAAATGGGGTTTCCTCTGACCTGTCCACGTGAACCCTGCCTGAGGTACAAAGACGTGGTGCTTTTTACCGTAGTGGGTGGAATTTCTCAAATAAGGATTTAAGAAATTCTGGAATCGGATGGAAAAAATTTTTGCGGGAGAGAGAAAAATCCCAAAATCAGGTGGAGGGATCTTTCCCCCAAGCTAGTGTTCCGGGAAGGAGGTTGTCGCACGTTGTCAACAACTTGTTCACGATTGTTCAGAACAGGTTGCAGCAATGTTGTGTTGCACCCTGTCAACAAGGCTTGTTAATTAACAATATTGTTCACGCTTGTTCGAACAATGTTGTTAACGCCTGATGATCAACAAGGCCTGAACAACGTTGTCGGAACAACTGAGATCAACTTGATATCAATGATGTTTTACATTGTCAACAACTGCGAACAGTCTTGTTTTACCAATATGTAAACAGCCTGATATCAATCGTTTTCGATGTTGTTATATGTGACCATTTTCCAGGGGGAGAGAGAAATTCAAATAAACACACAAACAGACAAACTTCGCTTCTTGATATGAAATTCAGTTTATTTTGAAATAAGAAAATACAGAATAGTGAACAAATACAAACTAAAGAGTTAATTACAGTAAAAGTACGAAGGTAAGATAACTATAAATTATTTTATATGCAATTAAGGTTTATAAAATAATAAGTACTATTTATAAATCTAAATAGTGTTACTGTAAGTGTTTTAACTTTTGAGTTCATAATACTGGTAAACCATGGCAGTATTTTAGCAAAAGGTAGTGCAAAACGGCAAACTCTATTATTATTATTTAGGTATTTTCAGGATCGAATTTGAATCTGTTGGAGCAAGTCTATCACAGAGATATTATGAACCATGCATGCAATTTATACATAATCATCTATTTTCCCATTTATATATTTGTAAACTGACAGTTAATAATTAATCTTTCACAAACTAATAAAATCATCTGAGGCCGGTAGTTCAAAGGCTTCGAACAACCGACCCAGATGATCTTATTAGTATATGTGAAAGAGTAATAGTATTAACTGTCGGTTTATAAATGTAATGGGCAAATTAGAGATAGCTAGAGTACTATATAAAATACTAAAGTAGGCTCATTGCCAGTTGATGGGTTAGGTTAACATAATTAATAAAAAGGAAACATAATTATCCATTTAAGCTTCTAATAAGAGGAGAGGTTATGGAGGAAAAGAAGAGTGCAAATTATTAGGGAGTAATTATTGATTCCAATTTGAACTGGAAAGCTCATGTTCATGAGTTATCCAAAAAACTAGCTAGAAGTATTGGTGTATTGTCCAAATTACGTCATTTTGTCCCTACAAGTATTTTAATCCAAATATACTATTCTATCATTTTTCCATTTCTGATATACAGTGTAATCATATGAGGAAATACCTATCAATCAAACCTTTGTCCTCTAGTAGTTCTGCAAAAAAAGCTATACGCATTATTACTTTTCTAACTTCAGGGAACATATACTTCTCCTCTATTTAAAAAATTGAATGTTTTGAAATTTCCAGATGTTGTTTATGTCTACGCAGCACTTTCTGTACATCAGTGTAGTAATGGCAAACTTCCTGAGGCCTTTAATTTTAGCTTAATACAAAATCAGCATAATAATAATACTCGACTTGCTTCAAGATCAACCTACTCTCTTCCTCCAGCTCGCACAAATTATGGCAAATTTAGAATCAGATTTAGAGGAATTTAAATAAACATAATTTCCAAAGTTTTTGTTCAAAATTTCTGATATTCACACCCAGCACCGGAACACTATCGTAATTTCATCTAAACGAACTTAGGTTTTCAATTACAGAGCATTTGTGACAATATTTAGCGACAAAGAGCGCCATGTCAAAATACGGCTTTCAAATCCTACTATTTTCTACGCTGAATTTCTTAAAAGTGGGACGTAATTACATACAGTGACTAGTATAGTTGGAAAAAGGACACTTTTAAGTACTAAAAACCGTAATAAAACTCGTCTCCAAACGCGATTTGAACAATTGAGAGCGTTTGAAATTTATACTATTTATGGCCTTTTGTTCACATTAGAATGTTGCTGAGGTCAGATGTCTGAGTTCATGTCACTACTAAAAATGCGCTGTAGTTCTGCCAAATAACCTTTCCCTCAAATAAGTTTATAGCACTATTGTACTAATCTACTGTATATTTCTTTGTTTATGTCCACCGTAAGTAGTTCCAAGGGATTTAAAATAATAGGCATGTTAAAATAAACAACTTGACCAAATTAATATGCTACTCGGGGAAAAGCCCGCATGCAGCGCGAATTCTATATGTGGCACATGCTATATTTAGAGTTTGCGTTGCAGTATACTAAACTATTGCTTAGTTCGAAAAGTCTATAAATGTGCGAAGTTTAGTTCTGGAACCTTTCTGCGAAGTTGATCTTTGAATTATATTGCTGCAAAATTTGAGAGTTAGTATGGATAATCTGTGTTCTTTTAATGCTATCGGTTCAACTGTATGCGGAGGGTGTCGGGGTGAATCGGGTATTAGACGCTTAGAAGATTGTGATGAGAACATTCAAAACCATCTTTCAAGTTGCCGTTTGTCGAGATCTGGTTTTAGCGAGCGCGAGCTGATTTTGAGAAGAGCGGAATTTTTACATGAAATATCAAGGGAAGAAATACGCTCTATGACAGTATGCCCAAACCACCGGTACAACTTGGGCCGATACTGGAGACCTCGTC